CCTCAGTTTGATTCAGTTCAGCTGGATTTTGCTGGGATCCTGTTTTACAACTTAAAAATCTTTCATCAGTTCTCATTAGTAACTAAGTAACAGTAATCAAGGAGTCGAATGGCTGTTTTCTTAATCATTGTCTTAATAATTATCTTATTTAAATAGCACAGTGTTAAGTTCAAGAATGCCAGATGTATAATTTCTGAAGAATAAACAGTGTAGAGGCTATGTATGTTATTATATCTGAGAGGATTTTTTTCTTTCATTTATTCATATTCATAGCATAAACTTTGGAGAGAAGGTAATTGACTAAACTCAAAATCCCTCTAAGACGCAGCTCAAAGAAAAGACCCCTTGACAGAATAAGTAGTGAGACCTTTTCTTCCCCTACATTTCCTTTCTAAAACAAATCCAGAATCAGAAGCATAAAGGTAAGAGCAGTAAAGAAATCGAAGCAGGTTTCGTTCAAGTACTTTCTAGCCCAAGAGTCCATCATAGCTTAACTAGGATCTGTTCCAGAAGAGAGTGCTAGCTCTTGCGTGTGCACTGTCTCTCTGTCTGCCCGCTGCGTTTCCAGATAGTTGACAGCTGTTAGGGTTTCCTGACTATTACCAGCATCTTAATCACTAACACTTAAATCCTGCAGAAGCTCCTCATCGTCTCCCTGGGCCCACAACTCCCTACCAGTGACACAGGCTGAGCATTCTGACCAGCTGTCCTGGACTTCTCACTTAGCATCTCAGATCTGTGATGAGCCTGTCGGAATCCTCAGAGTCTACTGGATTTCCCGTCTGTTCCGTTCCCTGGCCTCCACCACACTAGCAGCCCCTTAGCGCTTGCTTACCCAAGCACTAGAGTTATCTAACTTTGTCCCTCATCTCTTTTTTACACTGTTCCAGATTGAGTTGAACGTTTCCCTTGCCTGTTTGTCTAGTCATCTGTATTGACCCTTGCACTATGAAGTAGACTGGTTAGTGTACAGCACTGTAAAATGGACACGTTCCTTATAACAGTCTGTTATGAAGATTATAATAGCCAGGCACTGTGGTACACACCTGTAATCTTAGCCCTTGGAAGATAAAGGCAAATGGATCAGGAGTTCAAGGCTATTCTCAGCTATCCAATGAATTTGAGGCCAGCCTGGGGCTATAGGAGACCCGTGTGTGTGTGTGTGTGTGTGTGTGTGTGTGTGTGTGTGTGTGTGTGTGTGTGTGTGTGTACATATGCATACACACACACATAAAAATACCTAGATTATGTTAAGTGCTGTGAAGGGAACAAAGAAATAGAGGCCCCTACGGAGAAGATAAACAATCCGTCTCACTGGTAGCGAGGCCAGAAAAGGCGTTTTTGGTAGGTGGAATTGAAGTTAAGTCTAAAGGATGAAAGAAGCCGGCCTGAAAAGAGAGGCATGTTCCATGTGGGTAGGCCCAGGGCCCAGGGGGTCCGACTCGAGAAGCAGCTAGAGTCTGTAGTGCTGAGATGACCACAAGACGACCGTGATAAAGTGGAGCTACGCGTGCTCTGCTCTGTGCTGATAAACGTAAACAAGAGCCAGATCATTCAAGGCCTGCTCGGACCTTGACGTTTCTCTAAGTGCAGTGGAAGCTAGGGAGGGGAAGTCATCATCCGTTCAGTTCATATTCATTGGGTACCTTCTACGTGCCAGTGTCTGTGGTCCTGGGAATTATAGGCAGTAAACCAGTTCTTCCCACGGAAAGAAGTGTACCTGGTAAGTTTGAGATTAAACGTGGTAGTAACTTCCCATCCCCTTCTGCCAAGGAAGCTGTAGTGCAGACTGAAATATGAAAGCTTTCTCCCTGCAGCTTAGAGTGCATTGGCAGTGTATCGGCTAGCAGCATCTGGGTTGCTAGCCAGAGATAGCGCAGCGTAAGGAGGAATAGTAGTACCCCGCTTGTGCAGAGAGAAAGCTGAGCAAGAATGTGATTCAGTAGTGTGGAACCTAAACACTTAAGAACGGACTTGGAATGGCATCATGGGAGAGGTAGCACATATTCCTAAGCAACCCAGGCCACAGAGCTCCGATGAACCTTACTCTGAGGTTGTTGGTGCCCTTTATCAGAGCACCTGCCTCTTGGGAACTGTGTGTCCTTCCTTCTTTGGTGCTGGACATTGAATCCTGAACCTTCCATATACCCACCATGTCCTCTGCCATTGGGCTCTCCCTTCAGCCCCAGGTATATGTACCACGAACATACCAACCTACGGAGGAGTAGTCTGGCTTTCTACCAGCAAGCCTGGTACCCCAGTTCCCAACCTCCAGATGTCTACCAGAGTTTAAGAACTATGCTAGTAGTAACCTTCGTTTTCTCTGCTTCAGAAAAGATGCTAAAATACTTTTACATTACATTTTACATGTCTTTAACAAGTACTTTTATTTGTTGGTACTCTAAAAGCCAAGGCTATAAACCATTAGGACAATAGAAACTGAGGTTATAGTATAATGAATATGTAGTTAACTAGTTAATAAATATGTGTATGATCTTAAGACAGCAATCTTTATGCATTGTAGTCGGCACAGTGACTATAATAATTTACACAAGCCTTGTATAAAGGCTTTGTATTTTGAATTTAAATTAGATATCATATACAACATAACTTGTGGTTCAGCAAATCTTAGATAATTAATGTTAGTTCTCTTGACGAGAGTTTAATATAATTTCATGATTTCTTCAGAGAAACAGCTATAATTACTTTGATTCTGGGCGGCATTATACATTAAAGCATCCAATGAATATTAAATTATCACTTCAAGTTCTCTTTGAGTTCATTGGTTACTTTTTCATTGTTGCAGTCTTCCAGAGAAATTGCAAACCACTATTTAGCACCTTAATTTCATTATGTTTGTTCTGAACCTATAAAGTCTTAGTTTCTCCATTGAAGTCATTCACTATCCCTCTCTCAGCAACTGTAACTCTCTAAGTACTGATATTCTGATCTTGACACCCCAGAGAATGTTTCACTCTGTAACCCAGCATTGGTTTTCATTTAATCACGAGATCTTTACCCTGTTTTTGTGCTATGTGCAAATTTGAGGAGGCTTGGCATTTGATGGCTAGTGATAGCCACACAGGAGTTTTTCAGTAGAGAATGGGTTGTCTCTTGCTCTTTTAAGAGAAGAAGTAGGAGAGAAAGTTGTTTTTATATGAGTGAGGTATCACTTACTATGTTTAGGATAGCTGTGAGACAACATGAAGAAAGAACTAGTCAGAAAATATGGGGCAGAAGACTGAACATCTGAGCTGGTCAGCAGAAAATACAACGGAGGAAGCTTTGTCCTTTGAATTAGTGAACACAGGCTAGCATTGCCTTTGTAAATAAACTACTGAAAGTCTTCCATGTGTTACCCAAACACATCACACAAATTTAGTGATCTGCTCCTTACTGCATAACACAAAGAATATATAAGATGGTTTTTCTTTTTTCCAGTATTGCTATGGTTAAAAAAATACAGTATGGTTTAATTAGAAAATGCAAACAGAACCCACAGAGGAAGAGCATGAGGCCCAGAGGAAACGTGGATCATGCTATTTAATTGTCTTTATTTATAGTTTGTTCTAGTAGCAACGTTTAGATCCCACTGTAGCCAGTTCTGTTTGTTCAAGAAAGATTATCCTTGTAATAAACTTGAGAAGAATAGACTAAAATTCACCTATTTTGAAATTTGAACAGCTGGCTCTTAAATTTGATACTATTTCTATAGACCAGTTTATAAGGACCTGAGATGTAGCCCAGTGGTAGTTATTTGCTTTTCACATTCGAGGCCCTGAAAACAATTTTTAAAAGGAAATTATATTGACCAATTTTTATAGCTAAAAGAAAGGGTGAATTTGAATTTTTTAGGAAAGCTTTACATAGCTGTTTTACATTAAAAAATGACTCCTTATTGGTATGTGAGAAGTGTAATTGGTTAAGTATTTGTGAATTGGTTACCCAGTTCTCTTACTGTTCAGTACTTGCAGTGTGTGGAGCAGGAACGAATCTATGAGTTTAATGAAGCTAAACCTGTCATAGAATTGACATACAGTAGTACACTAAAGTAAAATGGGAGCATGCAGACACTAGTACTGTATGTATAACTAATACAAGCCCAATGTTTACTTTTGTTTATTCTTTTGTAGACATTCTTAGAACAGTTTGTAGTTCTGACATGCTGACGTTATCATCCATTGCAATATCAGAAGCAATAGTCGCTCTGCTCTGAAGGCCTCTGTAGTCCGCCTAACAACCCTGTTTCCTTCTCAACCCTGACAACCGCCCTTTCCAGAGCACAATATAGTTAGGATTTAATTGTATAATATGTCGCTTTTTTGGAATGAATTCTTTTATTTATTAACATGTTTACAATCCCTCTGTGCCCTCTTGTTGCTTGATAGCTCATTTCTTTTTTAGTGCTGAATAATATTTAATTGCCAGGATGTACTTATTCTGTTAGCTTATTAGAGGTCATCTTTGTTGCTTCCAAGTACAGGTAATTATGAATAGAGCATATATAAACATTGTCTGCAGCTAATCTGAGTGAATACATAGAAGCATGATTACTGGATCATGTGGCAGTGGTACATTTAAATTTGTGAGAATCAGCCAAATTGTCTCCCAAAGTGCCTGAACCATTCTGTGTTCACTGGTAGCGAACATCAGTTCTTACGTTCCACATCCTCACCAGCATTCGGAGTTGGTGTTTTGGATTTGGGGCATGGTAGTAAATGTATAGTATTTTTTTTTAATAACTTGGACTTCCCAAAAGACAAGGACTATTGGCCATATTTTCATATATGTATTTTCTGGAGAGGGCTCAGTAGTTAAGAGTTGCTGCTCTTCTAGAGGACCCACGTTTTATTCCCAATCCACATGGTGGCCCATAACCATCTATAATTCCAGTTTCAGGGAATCCAGTGTCCTCTTCTGACCTCTACAGGCTGTACACACACCACACACAAATACATGAAGGCCAAACACCTGTACACATAAAATAAAAAAATGGCAAATTTATTTTTAAATATTTTATTTTTAGATGTTCATGTTTGTATTTCAAATATACAAAGCATTAATTCCAATTCAGTTTCTCCCTAATAGCCTTCAAATTTACTTTTCAGAGACATAAATGAAACTTGTAAATGAATACATTGGCGAATTTTCCTAATCTACAGCAGTCATTCATGCCAATAAAACATTGAGGCAATGGTGAATGCTTTCTATTTTTTTTTTTTTATTAAATCAGTTACATGATTGTTTAAAGTATTTCAAATTTATTATAGAGCCTGGCTGTGTCATCAGCATTGCATATTTGGTGATTTACTTAATAATGATTTTGTTTTTCAGTTCTAGAAGACTCCATTCTAGAAATAATTTTAATAATACTAGCTTAAGTTTCTTACAGTCTGTTTTTCAAAAAAAAAAAAAATCTTACATTAAATGTAATCTACATATTTTATGATGCTATTTATTTTCATAAAGAAAAAGACTGGATTATTTAATCTTTTAGTCAGAGGAACAAATCTGTAATAGTACAAGAATTAAGTATTAATCCTCTTCATTATCAAAATTAAGTTCTTTGTTCTTTTACTATTGGGTTTCCGGGCACTGGTCATTCTGTTAATTCAGTGGCTCCATTCATTGAAAGGGATCCAGTTTCTGGACAGAAGCTCACTGCCTTCCCCTGCCCCCGTCTCTAGGGCACGGCAGTAACGGAAGCCTGTAAGGAGACACAGCCTAGGAGGGAATGGAGAGAAGAAGCCATCGTAATTTTAGTGAAGAGGAAAAAAAAAATCAGTAAATGGATTAGCTTTTTTTTCCCCCTACCCTGGAAGTGTTAGCTTTTTATGAAAACTAACACACATGGGTTGTGGGATTTGGGGCACAATCCAGAGAGGATAAAATTTGGCTGATAAAATTAGGTTTTCCTTTTGTTTTTGTTTTTTAAAAGAAGACATATAAAAGGATTACAGAAGATGGCAGTTATATGGATATTTAATGTTTTGTAACAGTATTCAAAAGCTTAGAAATAGAAAATAATTCTTTATAAACAGAAGTTTACTTATGTGAGTTTTTTAAATTGAAAATTACAGCTACAGTGTTTATTATGGCCTATTGCTGGGCATTACCAGTAAGTATGAACTAGTGTAGAATACTGATGCTATTAGAAAAATGGACAATGCTTTGTTTTTAATTCTCTTTAATTTTTACTATAGTTTATAATAGGTTTTCTAAAGTAGAATTACTTACAACTGGGTTATTTGTAAAGTTACATTTAGCATTTTAAAAGAGCGCATTGGTGGATTAATGAATTAGAATTTACTGACATGTTTTGTTGCATGATTTTCCAAATCAGTAAAACTTAAACTATAAGGCGGCCTCTTGTTTGTATTAGCCTGTTAGTGAGAATTAATATTAGCACCTATGCTTCTTATTTGTTAAGGGGTTTATATTATTGAAAATAAACTAGATTGGTTTTCTGCCGTATATATTTTTACAGTGATGTTAAATTTTCAGTGTAACAAAACAAAACTGTAAAAATCCCGCATGAACTCTGGAGGGAGTCTGAATGCAGAGGAGCGGTGTGGGTGTGAAGGAAGGCAGGGGGCATTGGTCATTGTCTTTCCCCAAACCCACTGCTTGAAAGTCATTGGCTTTCCTTATGTTGACAGAATGGAACTTAATTTACTGCTTCACGGATTTCTTTTTCCTCTGGAATATGGAATCTAATCTAATCTCGCACCTGTTACAATATGTCCACTTCATTTCGTAAACAGGGCCGTTTTAAAAATGGAGCATTATGTTCTTAGGGAAATTCAGTCCTAGCCCCTCTGAGGATGAAGCCTTCTCCGGTGTCCGCACCCTCTGGGCAGCAGTTGATCTGAAATGCTCTGTGTTTGCAGGAGGAACAGGCGGCGAAACTGAAAGCTGAGAAGATCAGAGTTGCCTTGGAGAAAATTAAAGAGGCCCAAGTCAAAAAGGTGAAAAGGTGGAGTGCGGCTCTGTGGGGTCTGAAATGGTTACCGTGTTCCCGTTCCCTTTTGCTTTGTGAAGGAGTCTCTTGTTTCTAGATAATGTTCCCCTGGTTTATGGAAAGGTGGAAGTGTGTTCTTTCTGTTATGTGTTCACGTGTGGGTTTGTGGGTGAGGTGTTCCGGGAAAGCCAGCCTGTTTCTGGGCAGGTCCCGAGTGCCTGACTCAGACCCCTGCTTGTGGTACATCTGATCTGTCTTGTCACTCAGATATGAAATAAAGGCTTCTCGCTACTTTCAAAACAAACAAAAAATCAGTAAGACAGAATCACCTTAGCACAATAATTTCTATTTTAAAGGCTTAAAATTTATGTAGGCAGGTTTCTTGATATTCAGGTTTTACCTTTAATAGTAAGATCAGCATAGTCATAATAATATGTCTTAATTTATTTTTAAAGACTTGAATCAGAATGCTATTTAACACTGGAAAATGCTTTCCTAGAACACCATTTCTGAGTCGCCGTTTAATTGCATTCTTACCTGTCGCAGCTGGTGATCAGGGTCCACATGGCTGACGACAGTTCTAAGACAATGATGGTGGACGAGAGACAGACGGTGAGACAAGTGCTGGACAACCTGATGGACAAATCCCACTGTGGCTACAGTTTGGACTGGTCGCTGGTGGAGAGCATTTCCGAGCTACAGATGGGTGGGTAGTACGACTGCTTCGTTGCCTCTTAGTGTCTGTGTGACCCGAAGTCTTCATTTGATAGGAGCATCTTGAGACGTCTGTGCTTTTCTTTCTATAAAATTATCAGGCACTTTATCTTATTTAAAATATGGCTTTTTAATGTTTTTCCTAGTGTATCTGAAGAGTTCTTTGAATAAAAGATGAATTCCAGTTCATTTCGGGTTTTTAAAATAATTAAAGCAAAGTTTTTGGTTTTTTTTGTTTTGTTTTTCCAAAAGAGGGTTTCTCTGTGTGGTTTTGGAGCCTGTCCTGGAACTCACTCTGTAGACCAGGCTGGCCTTGAACTCACAGGGATCCGCCTGGCTCTGCCTCCCGAGTGCTGGGATTACAGGCATGTGCCACCATGGCCTGGCTCTAAAGCATTTTTTTAATGATAAAATGCTTTTTCTTTGAAATAAGAGCTGCAGTCGGGCGGTGGTGGTGCACGCCTTTAATCCCAGCACTCGGGAGGCAGAGCCAGGCGGATCTCTGTGAGTTCGAGGCCAGCCAGGTCTCCAAAACGAATTCCAGAAAAGGCGCAAAGCTACACAGAGAAACCCTGTCTCAAAAAACTAAAAAAAAAAAGAGAGAGAAAGGAAGGAAGGAAGGAAGGAAGGAAGGAGGGAG